GGAGGGGGAGGAGGAAGGAGGAGGGGGAGGGGGAGGAGGAAGCGGGGCGAGGGAGGGGGAGGGAGAGCTGGAGACTTTCAACACAGCAGGGGGCCTACTTCTTGGATCCTCTCAGAGGTGACAGCAGAGACTGGATGCTTATCCCTGGTGAATGTCCTGCCTGGAGACTGTCCTCTGGAGCGCCCTGTGGCATTGGCTCTCTTGACTACTTTATCCCTCCTCATGCTCCCTCCTTGGCTTCTGAAGCACTTCTCTTCCTGTGTTTCTGACCCCTTTTTGGTCTCTTTCTTGAGGTTTCTCTTCTCTCCATGCCTTCCATGCTGGGGTCCCCTTGACCAGTCCTTTGTCCACTCTTCTGCACACTCACGGTAGATAATACCAGTCTCCTTCCGTGGCACCCTACCACCTATCCTGTACCCTGATGGATTTCAGATCCGTGTCTCTGACCTGCCCTGGCCTCTGAGCCATTCCTTTCTTGCTATTCCTTCCTTACATCTCCAGCTGGATTGCTCATGACCTTCTTCCCTCTGACATTCCAAATGTCTGTTAACGCCCGCATAGACAGCATCCCAGTTGCCTCCATTTCCTTCAGCCCCGTATTCAAGCAGCCCCTAAGTTGGTAAAAAACCACTAGGAGAAGCAGAGAGTAATGTGTTTCCTCCATGCCATGTCACAGAGTGCTTTCCATGTAACCTGACGGTATCTCAGTATCTCAGTACGTCACAACATAAATATCTGGAGGTAATGGAAAAATCTGAAATTTTTAGTAGAATCCAAGACAGATAATCCTCAAGACCAGTTACATGTAAAACATCAAGCACAATTTAGGATTCTTTTAGCTCTCAATAGTATAAAAAACATGATGTTTTCATTATGATACAAACCCCAAAGGCAAACCATGGAGTGCATCCATGGAGAAGCCTCACTAACAGGTGAGCTGTACACCTGACCCCGCTCCATGCCTGCACCACTTCATAGGATTCTTATACACCAAGCCCTGCTGAATACACTACTTGGATGTTTTAAACTCCTCCCGCATCTTCATCTGCACCGGCTTAGCCCTAGGGCTGGTGGGTTTTCACCATCTCTCTCCAGAGTGCTTCCCCCCACTTCCCACACCCTGCTGCCCACCCTCAGTTCTGCCCATTCAGAATCCCCTGTGGATGAGACCCTGCATTTCTAACGAGCACTCCAAGTGATTCTGATATACTCCCACTTAGAGAATCACTTGTTATAGGACAGCACAAACATAGTATAGCCTTCGAGACTCCTTCCACTCTCCCGGATTCCCCATGCTCCCGCTCCACTCATGCACGCTTCCCTGCTTGATCTTCATCCACCCTGGCCCTTCTCTCCTGTCTCCTGGTGCATTCTTTGCAGCCTCTTTGCAAAGCTCTCCAGATCCCCTTCAGCCCTGTGACTCTCTCCTGCCTTTAAGCTCCCACAGTGCTGCAATCTCTCCTTCTCTTATGACCCTTGACACCTTTCACCTGTGTGAGACCTAGATGCATGAGACCCTGTCTTGCATGTTAGTTTGGACTCTTTGAAGTCAAGGACTTAATTGGCAGGCACTTCAGTGAAGCCGTGCACAGCCTAGAGGGACACATGTCCGTAACTGACTCCATTCCTCATTACCCCTTCTTGGATGAGGTCCAGATGACAAAAGTTGTACCTTTTCTGTAATGGGACAGATAGTAGCTTAACGAGGGGCCAGTCTCTCTTCAAAAAGCCAAAAATAAACAAGCGTCAACAATCATCAAACCCCAGAATGAAGGCTGTTGGTTATCCACAGGAAGTTTATTTCCACTTTAGGCCCCTGACAGGAGAAACAGAGTGCAGAGGTGCCTTGCAGAGTAGTGAAGCTTGTGATATAAAATATACAAAATATAGCACCCTCTACATGCACTGTTCATAGACATAGGAGTGTGTTTTCATGAACCGTTTGGAAAAGTGGACACTTCCTAATTGTTCTCTTGGAATCCCTCTCAGGGACTTCTCTGGCTGCCTCACTCTGATGGAGAAATCCCCGAAGAGCAAGCTCTGGGGAGAAGGAACACAATCAACCTTGTGAGGCTCAGGGAGAGGCTGCGGGTGATCAGAAGACTGAACGCTAGAGTTAGAAGGACCCTGAGGGGGATCTAATGTCTTCCTTTTACAGATGGGGAAACGGAGACCCACAAAGGAAAAGTGATTTGTGAGAGGTTAGACAGCCAGTGAGGGGCAGAGCTGACGCTAGAACCCAGCATTCTTGGTCTTATCTCTTTTCGCTGCCTTTCATGGGCAAGTCTCTGCTTCCCTTGTCTGGCTCCTGGAAGCCCAAGGAGCAGATCTCTGTGAACATCCGTGCCAGGTGGGCTCTCTGAAGAGCTCCGACTGTGGGCATGCCAGGAGATCTGGTGGGACCAAGGTACACCTAATGTCCTGAGCCCACTCCTTCTTCCATTTTCCTGCCCAGAAGCACACACAGCGGGGCACGGTGTGGGCCTTCTCTTTTTCCAGGCAATCCAGTTGAGTCTCTGTTCCTGGGACTGGGGCTTAGGTGGCCTTTTCAGTTGATATACTTCAGAGCTGGAAGTTTGCTTCATGCTTGCCTGGAATGGCAGGTGTGGGCACCTGTGTTGTCAGCTGGTACTGGAGAGTGACGTATGAGTCCAAATGATGTGTTCAGAATCAACAATGGAA